CCTCTGAGCTGGTCAAACAGGTCGTCGATGCGAGGCAATGGATAACGATTCTTCACTGTGGCTTTGTTCAACTGTCTGTAGTCGATGCAAAGTCTCATGGATCCATCTTTCTTTCGAACAAATAACACCGGTGCTCCCCATGGGGAAACGCTAGGTCGGATGAATCCCTTTTCCAGTAGCTCTTGCAACTGAGCCTTCAACTCCTTCATCTCGGCAGGTGCTATACGATACGGTGTAGCAGATAAGGGTTCCGTACCCGGAATGAGATTGATCGAGAACTCTACCTCTCTCGGCGGAGGCAAACCAGGTAGGTCTTCGGGAAAGACATCGGGGAAGTCACAAACCGTACGAATGTTCTGTTGACGTGGCGATTCTTTTCGCATATCCTGAACGTGACACAGGAACATCTCGCACTTCTTGCGAATCAAGCGCCTCGCGCTCAAGGACGATATGAACTCGGGAGTCTTGGGGAACACTTCCCCGGAGAGTGATACGTCGCTACCGTCCTCGGCTCTCAGCCGTACGGTCCGACAACTGTAGTCGACCACTGCTCTATGCTCGGTGAGCCAATCCATACCAAGGATAATGTCAAACTCCTTGTGTGGTAGCTCTATCAAATCTGCAGGGAATTGCTTCCCTTGCATGGACAACGGACATCTATGATAAATGTGATGAAGACGCATGCTATGCCCTAGCGGATTCGATACAACGGTAGGTATCTCAAGGTCACTCCTCACAATCGCAGAATTAGCAGGCATGCCAACACAGATATAGGAGAGCGTAGAACCCGGATCAATCAAGGCATGCATAACCGAATCAAATAGTATGAACGTACCCAAGATAACATCGGGGCTAGGATCTGTGCGCCCATGCATGGCGTAGGTACGCGCTGGTGCCCGGCCTGACTGCTGCGAACGTGGTCTCTGCTGATTATTTGCGGCCGTAGACTGCTGACTCCGTGCTGGATGTGATGCGGCAGGCTGATCCGGAGCTCTAGGTAAAACAGGCTCGCTGCTAGGATTTGTCGGGCAATGCCTCCTGAAATGCCCTGGCTGGCCACAACCCAAACATAAGCCTTGGGCGAGCCAACACTCGCCCGGGTGATGCCTACCACACTGTACACACTGCGGGTGGCTCCTCGTTCTGTTCGAGTTGCTAGCGGCGGCCGACGGAGACGGCCTCGACTTACTCCTCTTAGGCGGCGGCGCACTCGAAGAACCCTTCTCGTACCTCTTTCCCCCGAATCCAAAACTCTTCCCGCTCCGCCTAGTGCTGGCCGCGGGTCGCGGGTCTTTCGTCGCTCGATCCTCCTTCTTGGTTGCCTGCACATCATCCAAGCTCTTTTCCGTCTTCACAATCAAATCATACGCCGCATTAAAATCTGTCGTCGTGATCAGCGCGGCGTACGGCCTCAAGTCTGGCCGTAGCTTCTTGACGAACTCATTCAAACAATCCTCCGGAGTGGAGACCTGACTCGTCGCATACTGGGATAGGTAGTCGAACCTCTGTCTCAGTTCAGGCAGTGACATCCCCTCCTGCTTTAGCGCAACGAACTCATCGCGCCTCTCCTCGCGGTACCGGGTGGGGACGTACCCCTTCGTGAAGGCTCGATCAAAGCGATCCCAGGTCCAAGGCTTGGGCGTGTGTGGATCCTGGTCAATGCGCTTCCACCAATCATATGCTCCCTTCCGGAACATCTGTGACGCCAACTCCGAGCGATCAGCATCTAGGACTCTCAAATTCTTGAGTACCCGGTCCATCTGCTCAAGCCAATCCAAAGCAATCTGGGGCTCCCCCATATTGTCTCCTCGAAACTATTCCGCTCCATTATCCTTCAACATCTTGAAGGTAACGATGCGCGGCTGCGGCTGTGGTGGTGGCGGTGGCTGGAACATGGGCATAAACTGCGCCATGTGCTGCATATAATGGGCCATCATGGCCGGGAACATCTGCTCGTAGGCCACCGGCGGTATCGCCAACTGTGGCATCACTGGAGGTGGTACGAATGGCGGGGGTACAACTGGTGGCTGTCCCGTTGGCGCAGGTTGATTCTGCTGTTGCCCTCCGTCACCCGGAGGCGTGAAACTCGAACCCTCAGTGTTCACCGTGTGCACGCTCACGTGCTCCGGCTCCGGAACGTACTGACCATGGGTCGATTCTTGACTCATTCTAAAATAATAAGGAAATTCTCACGTCAGATCTTAACACATAACAGATAAAGCTATAAATACTTAATACCTTCCCGGGGCAGAGGAGTTACGTGAGATGCAGATGCGGCTGAATTATTCATTGTATTTTTTTTGAAAGGGTCCAAAGACCGATTTTAAAACCAAATGCTCCGATACCAAAATGTAACACCCCAACCCGCATGACCCAAACCCGTGAGACAGCGGACCGGTGTGCCTTTGAATTGGTATCCGAATTTGCGACATTTTCAAATCAATTTTAAACAAACGTTCTATCAATACATATAAAAATCCATCCGAGTAATTTAAATTAATGCGAAAGCCTTTTTAAAGTCAAACAACTTGGGATCTTGCCCGAAAACGTAATAAGCATTAAAGTTAATTAAATAAAGCATATCAACAGATTAAAGAGACAGCCACGCCATCGTACATCTCCTCCTCAATGCCCTCTGGGATCGGCTCTAGGTTCATCTGTCTGATCACCTACGGACAGCAAAAAGGAAAACAACGCTATCCGCTCAGCATTGACGCTGAGTGGTACTCCATTGTAGCACAAGAATAAACATAATAATTCAACAATTAAGATCGTACATATGTTTATCCTTTTAATAAAAATCAATTCAACTTTACATTCGGTTCTTTAAACGGTTGACCAACAGTCAACTTATTTTCTTTCTTTTCAAAACGATTTAGGTGTTACGGGTTTCCCATTAACTCTTTGACCACCGGTCAAACCAATTTAGACTTTCACCAAAGTCAAACCACTTAACATTTATTGCCTATGACGGAGATAGCCTCAATCCGTAATACCGAAGATGGCCTCAATTCGGTAGAGGTAGGATCCCTCGGGCGATGGCCTCAAACCCAAGATCGCAGACCCTTGTGCGCACGTCTTAACCTCACTGACCAGGCCCTGCAGCCACCCGAGCAATGGCCAGTTTCTATGTTCAACACAATAAACCAATTGACCTT